TTAAAATAAATACAAATTTTATGTCTCTTAATCTACATTATTACCTGGCCCTATCTTGTACAGTATCTCACTTGCTCTTTGCACTATTTTATATTATATTCTATTATTTATATATAGTATATGATATATTTTTATATATAATATTTATTTATCTTTTTTATTTCTTTGCCCTATGCGTTCAACACTAGACACTTAAAACATAAATCTCTCCTTAGCAACGCTGTGATTTAAAGCGTCCCGATCTAGGAAAACTACTACAACATGACTCCTTAATGTGTAGTTTTTCTTCACTGTTCCACTTTATAAAACCCCTTGGAAGGGTTTGTCCCTCCTATTGCCTCCATGTGTTTTCACCGCCTATATTAATTACCATCTTTGCTTTTTCCTTCTTGATACAGAGTTAACTACATGCGTGGCAGATCCAGAGATGAGAGTCCTTCCCTCGGACACCCCACCTGGGTAACCACCCACTCATCTGAGTCGGACAAATGAGGTTTCCAGTCCTGACGAATGACATCACTGAGGATGAGAGGTTGGCCAAGGAGCCTGTCACTTCAAAGAGGCTGCGGCACAACGACCTGTCCCCATCGACACAATAGACGACGATTCAGAAAGTTACAACGTCATCTTTGATGAGCCGACTCCTGATGTAATACTCACTGGGAGAGCCACCGCTTATTGATCAAGAAAGTAGTATTTATATAATGTTATATTTTGGATTAATATTTGTTTTCCTTTATTATTGGCTGTGGTGTAAATGGATCATTCTATGGTTCTTTACTATTAGGTCATACTAACTGGAAGACACGTGAGGCATTGTCTCCATATCCGGATGAACCTCTTTATCCTATCTCTAATTTTTGTCTTCTGAGAAAGCTAAGGTACTCGTAAACCATATTTTTACTCTCTGAAATACAAATTTTAAATTAATAAAAATTTAATTGTTGTCTATAAAGTGCTGTGCAAATCCTAATTGTTTGGTTGGCTAATGTCTTTACCAAACTATTCTACGTTAAATATCCAAATATAAACAAAAAGAACAAAAATAGAAATGGTCACTTTGAAAACATAAATGAGTGTTGTTCTGTGTTATTGCCGGGGGGCTCTCAGTGACATAATTTGTTGTTGTTTTTGTCAGGGCAAAGCTACAGTGCGGGACAAGCAGGGGGGGAAAGGGCGCTATCACACTCGTCAGGACGAGAACACATGCACTCCACAAGAAGCCAGGTATCACCCATGTTGATTTCCATGGAGGGGTCAAATATGACATCGGTGACTGTCGTGTTCAATCACAGAGGCTGAACTGAGTTTCTAAACAGAGATGTTTGTGTTTCGAGGGGAAATCTCTCTTTCATGTTGTGATAATCCAAGGTTATTCACAGTGATGTTGACGTGCAGCAAGCAAATCCAGTCTGTGTGTTGATGATAGGTTTACTAGTGTGGGCTGGGCTGAGTTTTCTGTCTTAAGACTTAAGCCTAGCGACAGAGTCCTAACAACTAGTATGGCGGCTTTTGGCATCCATGCCTAAATCGGTCGCTTCAACAGATAAACATGATGTTCAGTCAGTTGCCCGTGTTCTACTTTTGGCGTTGTACTCCTCTCCGGAGATACACCCGTTTGCGCGCTCCTAATGTCATGGCGCGCTTCAAACACACTGTAGGTGACGCCACAGTTTATGTCAGAAAACACACTGTGTACGCCAGTTGCTGTCGATTACGCGTGTTATTCTCGTGACTGGTCTGCTACTAGGAGTTGCCCGTTTTCGCCAGATTGTGGATGTGTGCGGGGCAGTAACTCATATGCGACGGATATAATCAGTTGCCAGTCCGATGTACGCTAGGCATAACTCACCATCATGTTGTAACTATGCATTATTCCCATAGGCGCCTTCGGACCGTCAGTTACGCTACAAAGAAAAAGTGACAGAGCTCAGACGAAAGAAGAGCACTACTCCAAACAAGGAGCACAAAGACAAGCACATTGTAATGTACAAATACAAAGGTTTTTGTTGTTGTTGTTTGTTGTACATTAGTTAGTTTGTTGTTTTTTATATATTCGTAGGATCATCGTCCGAGCCACGCCAGCTGCAGAGAACCTCTTTTGGAGAACATCACCAGTGACTATGACCTGGAGCTGTTCAGGAAGGCACAAGCCCGAGCCTCAGAGGACCTGGTGAGAGACGACACACAAGCTTATCTGGCAACCCCCTGTAATGTCTTATTAGACGTAAACAAGGGGTCAATTATTAATACAAAAGAACAATGGCCTGGATGTGAAGACTATATAGATCCAATGCTCAGATGTTTCTGTGAGCATTGTTGTACTGAGTGTACTTACTGTACATGTCCAAACCTATGGGTTTAGTGCCAGAAAATACTTTTTGATCAACATTTCAAAAAACGTGAATGCATTTACAGAAGTTATTTTAAATAGATCTATATATTATTTGATGCTAAGCACGTTTGTAGGTTTAAGAAAATCACTACAAATTTAAATTACCCTTGAAAAACGTGTAACGGACGTGACGGTTTCCGTAAATTTTTCTATAAAAAATTAACATTAGAAAAAAAATGGTCTGGTTTCATATTTAAGTGGTTTACTATTATGAAAGTATCACTTTTTTCTACTCTGTGTAAAAAAAAAGATTCTCTTAATCAAATGTGGACATCTGAAATATGTAACAAACTTCCGTAAAGCCTCCTTCCGTTAAAGCATCATGTCCGTTACATAAAGTAAAAAGGGCCGCTATAGGAAACTTGTCTAACGTAAAAAACATATGTTCTAGCAACTTCTAATAAACAGACGAGGTATTTGGATACATGAAAAACATAATATATGTTCTGATTATCAAAATCTAATGGCCTTTGTCACACTTTTGTGCACAAGCCCATAAACTTTTGGAATTAATAAAATTCTTAGAAACATTATAGTCATCATTATGACTTGCTGTTTATTTTAGACTTGACTCTAAAACAAGCTTTTTCACCCTGTGCCCTTCGGTCTGTTCTCTTTTATAACGAATCTCTCACTTCTAGTGTGTCTTCTCACAGGAAAAGCTGCGACTTGCAGGCCATGTGTCTGAGGGCGGCAACATGATAAAGACCATAGTGTTTGGTCGATACGAGCTGGACACCTGGTATCACTCCCCTTACCCAGAAGAGTACGCTCGTCTGGGGAGGCTCTACATGTGCGAGTTCTGCCTCAAATATATGAAGAGTCAGACCATTCTGCGCAGACACATGGTACGCAGCTCCGATCAGCGGTTATGTGACGTCAAATGTGTCGTCTGTCGGGTTTGAGTTAAAGAGCACACATCTTTTGAGCCAAGATCAAAAAAAAAGTTGTAACCTTTTTGAACTAAAGAGAAGTATGTTATTGAACAGTCCGGGTTCTTAATATTTTTTTTATTAATACAGTTGTCTAGACAATACAGAAATGAAATGTTTGTGGAGCTACATTGGAAACACAGATTTTCATATTGTAGCAGTATAAAAGTGCATTCTCAGTGCTTATATATTTTTCCATTCTGTCTAAAGGCCAAATGCGTGTGGAAGCATCCTCCAGGTGACGAGATCTACAGAAAGACCAATATCTCTGTGTTTGAGGTGGATGGCAAAAAAAACAAGGTAAGATTTGTTTGTATTATCAGAGACCTAATATGACACTGTATGAATTAAACTTTGTTGTTCAGATTTATTGCCAGAACCTGTGTCTACTGGCCAAGCTTTTCCTGGATCACAAAACTCTATATTACGACGTTGAGCCATTTCTCTTTTATGTTATGACCGAAGCAGACAACACAGGCTGCCATCTTATCGGCTATTTCTCCAAGGTACATGTTATTTTGTTTGGTGACTGTCTTCAAACCGTTGCATTCGTAATCAATAGATAGACACTTTATAGATAGATAGATACTTTATTGATCCCCAGAGGAGAAATTCAGGTGTCTAGTAGCAGCAAAAACACATCCATCCATTTACACAAACAAAACAAATACATTGATCTATCTAAAAGCTAACAATAGTAGTAGTAGTAATAATAAAAACAGCACTTCAGGTCACAGCAGAGATGGTGGAGCCTCTGGGTGGAGCAGGATGGGTCACAACAGCAGAGGTGGAGCTGCTGCTTGGTTTCGGACCATTTTCTCTACTCTGGTCCAAAATGCTTTGTTAGCATTTTTTAGCCCTCCTCCAGTGGATTTTGGCCTGATCCGCTGATTTTGGACCATGAATCCTCTCTGCTCCGGTCTGGACCAGTGTAAAACCATGAACTCTGAACTGCAGCAACATCTCAGGTAGAAAAAAAGCAAGAAAAATAACAATTGTAAAACTTTCAGAGCTACTTAGGACTTGCTGCCCTTTCCAGCGCATTCAAAAGCAAAAAATAAAATTCCCCCGTAGGAGAAATTCAGGTGTCCAGTAGCAGCAGAAACACATCCAGCCACACATTCAAAACAAATAAATACATAATTCTAAAAGTAGCTAACAATAGCAGTAGTAAAGTCGCAGAGGTGGAGTAGCCGCTGGGTGGAGCAGGACAGGTCACAGCTGCAGAGGTGGAGTAGCCGCTGGGTGGAGCAGGACAGGTCACAGCTGCAGAGGTGGAGTAGCCGCTGGGTGGAGCAGGACAGGTCACAGCATATAGATTATTCATGCACTCACTTGTGTGCTGTGTTTTCATCTATAACGATACATTATTATGACCTATTCCATTCACAGGAGAAGAACTCTTTTCTGAACTACAACGTGTCATGTATCTTGACCATGCCTCAGTACATGCGGCAAGGCTACGGCAAGATGCTCATTGACTTCAGTGAGTGCATGTTTTTACCAAAAAGCATTGAATTTGCGTGTATTGAGTTTGATGAAATACATGACTGTGTCTTCAGGTTACCTCCTGTCTAAAGTCGAGGAAAAGGTGGGGTCCCCGGAGCGGCCCCTGTCGGACTTGGGCCTCATCAGCTACAGGAGTTACTGGAAGGAGGTTCTACTGCGATATCTCAACAACTTCCAGGGCAAAGAAATCTCCATCAAAGGTGTGAGAAGTTTCTCCCATTCAGCAGTTACTGTGTACTACCGTATCTACCATGTACTCAAACCTTTATTTTTATTTACGACAACTGGGCTTCTGTTGTACTATCGTTAGTATTCAGAATCAGAATCAGAATCATTTTTATTGCCAACGTAAGTAACGGGAGGTCACAGACTTGGAAATTGCTTTGGCTCAGTGCAACAGTCAAAAAGAGATAATAAAAATAAGAATAAAAAACACTTCTAAAGAATAAATTTAAATTTAAAATAGAGTTACAGTTACTATTTACAATATACAAGTGCACATGGTGCACACAATGTAAGGTGACAGCAGTACAGTGAAGTAAAGTGACGTATGATGGGCAGTAAAGTGACTTTATAAAGGGCGGGGGGACAGGTTAAGAAGTGTTCAAGAGTCCAACAGCAGAGGGGAAGAAACTGTTCTTGTGGCGGGAGGTTCTAGTCCTGATGGACCGCAGCCTCCTGCCTGAGGGGAGTGGTTGGAATAGTCCATGTGCAGGGTGAGAGGGGTCGGCTGTGATACGACCAGCCCGGCCTCGAGCTCGGGCAACGTACAGGTCCTGCAGCGATGGAAGGCTGCGGCCGATCACTTCCTCTGCAGAGCGCACAATGCGCTGTAGTCTCTGTTTGTCCCTGACTGTGGCTCCAGCGAACCACACGGTGATGGAGGAGGTGAGGATGGACTCGATGATGGCCGTGTAGAACTGCACCAACATCTGTGCAGGCAGCTTGGCTTTCCTGAGCTGCCGCAGGAAGTACATCCTCTGCTGGGCCTTCTTGATGAGAGAGCTGATGGTCGGCTCCCACTTGAGGTCCTGGGTGATGGTGGTGCCCAGGAAACGGAAGGACTCCACAGAGGTGATGGGGGAGTCCATCACGGAGGGTGGGGGCGGGGGGACAGTGCTCTTCCTGAAGTCCACAATCATCTCCACTGTCTTCTGGGCGTTCAGCTCCAGGTTGTTACCACTGCACCAGGACACCAGCCGGTCCACCTCCCTCCTGTAGGCGGACTCATCGTTGTTGGAGATGAGTCCAATGAGGGTGGTGTCGTCCGCGAACTTGATCAGCTTCACGGAGTCGTGGCTGGAGGTGCAGTGGTTGGTGTACAGGGAGAAGAGCAGGGGAGAAAGAACACAGCCCTGTGGGGCTCCTGTATTTATAATCCGAGAGTCCGAGACATTCTTCCCCAGACGCACTCGCTGCTTCCTGTCCGTCAGGAAGTCAGTGATCCACCTGCAGGTGGAATCGGGCACGTTGAGCTGGGAGAGCTTGTCCTGGAGCAGGGATGGCAGGATTGTGTTGAAGGCAGAGCTGAAGTCCACGAACAGGACCCTGGCGTAGGTCCCCGGGGAGTCCAGGTGCTGTAGGATGTGGTGGAGGGCCAGGTTAATGGCGTCGTCTACAGATCTGTTGGCTCTGTAGGCGAACTGCAGGGGGTCCAGGAGGGGTGAGGTGAGGGACTTGAGATGGGAGAGAACCAGGCGTTCAAATGACTTCATGACGACAGACGTAAGTGCTACAGGTCTGTAGTCATTGAGTCCTGTGATCCTGGGCTTCTTCGGAACGGGGACAATGATGGAGGATTTGAAGCAGGCCGGGACATGGCAGGACTGCAGAGAGGAGTTGAAAATGTCCGTGAACACAGGAGTAAGCTCACTGGCGCAGTGTCTCAGAGTGGCCGGAGACACGTGGTCCGGGCCAGGAGCTTTGCGGGGGTGCAGCCTCAGGAAGAGTTGTTTAATCTCTTTAGCGGCTATTGTTAGGCTGGGGGCAGGGCTGATGGGTGGGTCGTTAGAGTAGTGGGGGGTGGGGGAGGGAGAGGTGTCAGGGGCAGCATCAAAGCGACTGAAAAATAAGTTCAGATCGTCAGCTAGCTTGTGGTCATCAGCACAGGGGGGGGCTTTGGGTTTGTAGTTGGTGATCTCCCGTAGGCCCCTCCAGACAGAAGCAGTATCGTTGTTACCAAACTGCTCCTGTAGTCGTTCTCTGTGCCGGGACTTGGCTGCTTTCAGTTCTTTCCTGAACTGATATTTAGCTGCTTTGTAGCCGCTGCGGTCCCCCTCCCTGAAAGCAGACTCCTTTGCTTTCCTGAGCTGCCGGAGTTTAGCAGTGAACCAGGGTTTGTCGTTGTTATAGATGACCCTGGTCCTTGTTGGAATGATGCTATCCTCACAGAAGTGGATGTATGACGTTACAGTGTCCGTATATTCATCCAAACTATCTGTGGCAGCTCTGAAAAGGTCCCAGTCTGTAGATTCCATGCATGCGCGCAGCTCTTCCACAGCTTCATCAGACCACACTTTGGAGCTCCTCACTGCAGGTTTCGAGAGCTTTAGTCTCTGTCTGTAAGCAGGAACCAGATGTATCATGGAGTGATCTGAGAAGCCGAGGGCTGGCTTGGGAACAGCGCGAAAAGCTCCGCGCACGGTGGTGTAACAGTGATCCAAAGTGTTCTCCTCTCTGGTCGGGCATTTGATAAACTGTCTGTATTTGGGTAATTCCTGGCTCAAGTTTCCCTTATTAAAATCCCCCAGGATAATAATCAGAGAGTCCGGGTATAAGCGTTCCATACACAGTACTTGCTCTGCGAGTGCGCGCTGAGCCTCGCGCGCGTCCGCGCATGGCGGTATGTAAACAGAGGCAAGAATGAATGAAACAATTTCCCGCGGGGAGTAATATTAATAGTAATAGTGCTAGTAATAGTAATAGTAGTTACCTGTTCTTCAAGCGTAGCCGACTGAAAGAGTTTTGTGAGGGTCAGCTGCCTGGACAGAATGTTCTCGCTGCTACTGTTTACACTCGACTGAACTAGAAAACCGCCAGGTGTGTTTATGACAGTGTTGTCAAGAGCAGTTGACCTCGAATCAAGTATTTTCTGAAATAGGTCAGCACTCATACAGTATGCTCGCCAAGAAAAGGCTTTCTCAATAATGGTGCAAAGTTTTCTTTTAAACCTCTTGAGACTGAAGTTCTGAGTGATATTTAGAAACTTTAATATTACGGTTTCCTTTAGAGGCACATTCCATCTTTAAAACGAATTGCCGTCTCGACTTGAGCCCTTTGGTCAATATCAAAGAGATAAAGCGACCGCAGAATTTGATTTCTTTAGAGTTGAAAAACATTTTGATTTAAAAACTATAAAAAACATTGGAAGTAATCCTTCTGTTTGGTCTATGGAGTGATCTTTTTTTTTTACTTTTTAAACCCGGAGGAACTATTCAAATTGAGGGCAAATCCATTTGTGCCTTTTGTGTGGACAGAGATCAGCCAGGAGACTGCGGTGAACCCGGTGGATATCGTCAGCACACTGCAGTCGCTCCAGATGCTCAAGTACTGGAAGGGAAAGCACCTGGTGTTGAAGAGACAAGTACGACAAATACTACCACAGTACACACACTGCACTGCCTGCAACTACTACAGAGACTGTTCTTCTCTTTCAGGACCTGATAGACGACTGGAAAGCAAAGGAAACCAAACGTGGAAACGGAAAGACTATTGACCCCACAGCCTTAAAGTGGACGCCTCCAAAGGGAACGTAGATCACACCTGCACATGTACAGACTGCATCTCACAGCTTTCACACAACACCAGTGTGTGTTTAAGGACACCTATTCACACTAGGTGCTCATGTTAGGGTTGTATCATTCTCACTCAACGATTCAAACTGGTTTTCTGTGATTTTCTCACAATAATTATTAAATTGTTCCCAACATATGTTAAACCCAGCCCCTTTTGGTTACAGCTGTCTATGTTCACAAAGTCACTGGTACAATAGTTCATTCTGTTGCTCTAAAGTGGTAGCAGCTGTTGAAAGCCTTTTAGATAATTTTACCAAATATATATGTGTGTATATAGAGTATGTAAGAAATCTGCTAAAAATAGGCTGATATCTCGAATGTAAAAATAATGTTACTATTTCATTGCTTTATCAATCTCAAAACAATTAGTCGGTTGCAAGAGGATCACTTTAGACCGCTAAACATTGTATAATATATAGATATTATTTATAAATAATGGCTGTTTAAACCTAAAACCCAACTACAAGTGCCACTGGCCAGATTCGACTTTGTAAGTCTCTTCAAAATGCTACATGAGTGTGTTCACAGTAAAGTGTCAATTGAAGTATCTGGACTTGAAAAGGTTATAACTCAAAAACTAAAATTAGTATCATAGATTGGAAAAAAGATTTCAAACGCAGACAAATCAAAGAGATAGTGTGGATACAATCAAAAGGGAAGATTGACAAATATATTTTTGGCGACATTTTAAACGACAAAATCAGCCTCCGATTTGACCATTCTACTGTGACTCAGTGACATAGAAAATAAAATGTCCTCAGTCTGAAAAAGCGGCCGATGAAATCCCACAAGATTTACATGGTTAACACAACATCAGTAAATCACTTGATATAAAAAGGAATCGTTAAATAAAAATAAAAAAGACCCTTGAAAAATGTGTAACGGATGTGATGGTTTCCGTCCATTTTTCTCTAACAATTAAATTTGAGAAAAAAAACATCTGGTCTGTTTTCACATTTAATTGGTTGACTAAATGAAAGTATCACTTTGTTTCTACTCTGTGTAAATAAATAGAATCTCTTAATCAAATTTGGACATCTGAAAATACGTAACAAACTTCCGCAAAGCTCATTCTGTCAAATCATCACGTCCGTTACATAAAGTAAACAGGGCCGCTATAGGAAACTTGTCTAATGTTTAAAACAGTTTTGTTCTAGCAACTTCTAATGGACAGAGGAAGTGTTTGGAAACATGAAAAACATAAAATATCTTCTGATTATTAAAATCTAATTGTTGGCCTTTTGTTACACTTCTGTGCCCTTTAGTGTGAACAAGCCCACATACAAAAATACAAAATGCTTTTGCTCTTGGCAGCACAGAGCTATGGTTTCATAGAACTTTACATTTGGCCAGAGTGGATTTAGTCGCTTCTGCAGCTGTGTTCTTTCTGTATATAATTCTACCTCTGAGGTTTTGCCACAAGGTTTTGTTATTTCCCTGTATAAACATAAAGCCAGAGCGTTTTACTAAATTTTTGTACTATTTATAAAATATTCTTGTTAAACATAAAAGATGGAATGTATAGGAAAAGTTGTTATAGTCCTTTCATTTCCTTTCATTTCTTTTTATCTTTTTACTGTGGACAATCTTATTTATTTCTGCCCCATCTCGGCTGTGACCTGGTATTTAAAAAAAAAAATCAATATAATTTAATCCTTTGTTTATGTCACCTGTAAAATTTGTTGGCACAATATTAGATGCGCCTTCTAATTCAAATGAATGTATAAATAATGATCTGTTAATCATAATTCTGCATTTAGAATCTCCTTCATTGATTCCTGTACGCCTCAGTCTGAACTTGTGTAGAACTGAAGAATGAGTATCTAATTATTTGGCCATTGGGCTCTCAGTGTTTTTTCCTGTTTTTCACACGTACGATAGATTTGTCCTTTTTCTTTGTCCCTTAAACACAAAGGAAACATGCATTATCTTTTTCACACTGTCTCTCTGAAACATTAGCATTTTCACCAAAACATTGACGAAGTACATTAACAAATTTACCAGGTGTGTGTCATAACTGCTCAAACCGTTAGAAAGAAAGGGATCGAACATCACAGTGTTTACTTGTATTCATACGTTTTTGTGGCATAAAATAAAACCTGAGTAACACGTCACCTTTTGTGTCTAATTTGTTGTGAGATGAAAAGGTGCTTTTGTTACTGGAGCTTACAGATTCAGGACGGTTGTGAAATGCATATTGACAGACTCTTTTTGACATGGATTCTGCACGTACATTTGAGAATAACGAGTGATTCTAAATAATGTGACTTTCGTAGCAGTTTCCATGATGTTGCATTGAATGTACACACTTGTTACTTAGTACTATAGACTGTATTTTGGGGGTGGACTGACCAAGTGCTGACATCTCCAGGCCTTTCAAACACAAGATAGCTGGAGCTAATTTCCTTTATATGGACATTTCTTCCATGGTGTTAGCTTTGCACCGTAACATAGGCAGACATGTTGTTAAGACTGAAGTTAGCAAGATCCTATAGAGCGCTAAATCACAGATGTTTTAATCCCAAAAGGTTTGAATGAGACGTGAGAAGTGAACTTTTCTATGTGAGAGAGAGATGGAGCAAAGCTTTGTCCATCAGCACTGCCCTATTGTGATTCATTGAGCTTTATTGGGTTAACATTGTCAATCTATATACAGTTTATGTATATGTTTAGTACCTGTTTTCCAGTGAACAAAAGAAGCGCCCCTGCCTCCACACATGGCTTGTTTGTGCTTTGCTCTCCTTCCACTTCAGTAAATCTGCATTCACTTGTATCCAGGATCAGGGCTCCACACAATACTGTCCTCAAAGGGGTCCGTTCATGTGACGTCGCAACATTCCAGAGAGACTTTATCATTTGAAATTGTGGTGGAGGGCAGCTGAGAAACTTTCCTGGTAACTATGGTAAGTGCCTTAGTTATTTGATAATATTTCTTTCTTTGTGTCTAGAAGTGGTGATAATAGTTAAAAAAAAACACGCAGGATGTTGGTTGGTAGAAAGGACCATCGGACTATAGACTGTAAATATGAATTATATTTCAGACACAAGATAAACATGGTGGGTTTGTGAAACACTTTCAAATAATGGTCTATGAATCCTCCTGTTTGCACCTAGGTCACCTGAAAGTGAGAAAAAATAAATTGGCCCATTAGCTTCCCCTGCAGACTGAAGTACATACTGAGAAAGATGTTTAGTTTTTTCAAAATGTTTAACATTTTGCACATAATCCTGTTTTGGCATCCCAATTCAAAAAGTCAATAAGAGCCCACTTATTTTTTATCCTGTTGCCATGGCGATGACAAACACTGAACCCTCCATATTCTGTGTCAATGGGAAAATTCTTATATCTCTCAAATTTACTGGTAGCACAAACCAGCCTCGGCCATTTCACCCATTTGGTTCAAATTCACCTCATCTCAACAAGTGTAGGACCAAAAGTTAGTTGCAGATTTGTGATCAGTTAAAACGGTGTGTGCGCAGCAGACTTGCAATATTGGGTTATTTCTAAAGGGACTCATGAACGTTCCCATGTTATTAAATAGAGACAAATAATCACTATCTCCCATCAGGGCTGTAGGAAGATGGGTCTCATTAAACTCTTGGTATTTCGTCCCGGGCCAAATAAGTATTCACCTTTTGTTGTTATTTCTTTAGTCAATTAAGAACCACGACCAGGTCAGGGTTAGTGTTAGAAACAGATTTTTTGGTTTAGGTTAGGCTTGGGGATAACGAACAAAATACCAAGATTGTAGAAAGTCCCCTAGGAATCCGGGAATAAATATCTGGAAAGTTTAGAACCCCAGTTCACATTGGGCTTTCATTTAAAAAAACAAGCACTTCTCTGGCCACTTATCAAGAACAACATGAAAACTGTCAATATCTAATCATCTTTTTTTATTCAATTTCAATAACAGTATGTCAAGGCCAGAGTGGCGTTTGCATGTTCTCTCTCATCTTCTATTGCTCTCTTCTCACCCTCAGACATGGATAATGGGTCCAGGATGCGGGCTTTTGAATAAAGGTCAAAAAGAAGAATGTTCATGTACCTTAAGAGTCACTAAATGCTTTTGTGAAATAGTCAAAATGGAACAATACATCCTTTAGCACCATAGACATACAGCAAGTTGATATTTTTGGTCTCAATAATGTCATAATCATGATGTCCCCTTTACATAACTGTATTTCAAGACTAAAGACACTGTACATGAACAAAAATATGTGTTTATTTCATCATCAAGTTGAACAACAAAAGCCCAGGGAGAGCACACATTGTTTCAGTAATGTTAGAAATGAAACCTTTTTTAACAATGTCGGCAAATTGAGTTTGAGTTTTCATTAATAAATGTCCCATTCCTCTTCAGAGTCTGGAAAACAGACAGGACACATGTTATTATTATACAATATGTTTTTATGCACACAATTATTGGATTATAATAACTGCACCAAGATTTACAGATGATACAACTTAACATGATGCTTGTATTTTTGAAGTCCACCCGCTCATTAGGCCGAGATGCAGTAATAATGTCGTCTTACCTCCTCTTAAACTCCTTCTACCCATTAGTCCCACAAATGTCTCATATTTATTTCCTGTTGAAAAAAAACAGTAAATAATTGAAAGTCGGCCTGGGTAGTGGGGTGGGGTTTGATGACTTACGTTGAGCATTGGTGAATTCCCGTTTCCTCCCCAGTCTGACAGAATGTGAGGTCCCTGAAAAAACACACAACTGTTTACATCAATAACAGATCATCAATAACACATAGTGTTTATCCATTAATTTTCTTCCGCTTCATCCATTGCCGGGTCGCGGGGGCAGCTCTAGCTGAGACACATAGTCCCTGCAGAGTCTCCTGGGTCTTCCCCAGGGTCTCCTCCCGGTGGGATGTGCCCAGAAACCTCCCCAGGGAGGCGTCCAGCCACCTCAACTGGTTCCTCTCAACGTGGAGAAGCAGCGGCTCTA